TTTGGGCTTGTTTGCAAATGACGTCATTCTTGTGTCATTTTCATCGCAACCACCACCATCGCGTACAGTTGCTGTCGATACCTCAAAAGAATTTTGTTTTAGTTGGATTCTAAGTTACAAGAAGAAATTTTTAATGAAATAATCAAATATTTACCTTCACCATACAAGTGTTGCGCTGACAACACATGTAAGATGCTTGACAGTTATTTCTCTCGGGCGGACAAATTTCAGGCAAGTTCATTCAATTTATTTTGTGGAAGTGAGAGTAATTTTTCTATTTTCTTCCGCTTAACACATATAGATTCGTAAATACGTAAATACTATAGAAAATCAATTATCGTTTTAAACAATAGGAGCCTGATTCAATTTTACCTAGTCAGTATTAGGTTATTTTCGCACTGAGTACTACATGAGTTAATGCAATCCGCTTTTGGTATGTACAAAAGGAGAATTTAATAGTATTAGACAATATTAAGAAAGAAATAGAAGCTAAAATGTTATTCATTATACTGTCCAAAAAGCATAACAAACATGTACTATCTAACAATTTTCAAGAAATTCATCCATAATTTTTGAATATTTGGAAGAAAATACTAATTAAATTTATAAACACAGCTGCTTAAGGATTGATTGGAGGCTTCAACGAAGTACAAATATTAGTTTTATGAGATCTAGTATTTGGTTAAACCATTTAGAATAGGATAATTGCAGCAGCGGTATCAAAACTTTCATTTAGTAGCAAACTTTGTTCAAAATTTTCATTTGTACCACCCACGGTACCAAACCTTTTATTTGTGCCACCCATGATACTAAACCTTTCAAAATATCGCAGTTGAAGTCCAAATTGATGGTATATGTTATTTTGACCGTTCAATTCTCTCTCATCTCATTAGACTTTTTGATGGAATGAGGACGGTGCACAAATTTTACCCTAATCTAGGGACTATAAAGAAAGGATTTTTCTGGAATGCAAAAGAGAGAACTTTTTTTCACAAACATATAATCATATACAAATTTAGTGGGTATTTGGTGGAGATTAAAATTAGATTTTTAGTGGATTGTAATAGACATTTTTGAAATATGTAGTTGAAAAGATGTAGGACCTATGAAAGATGTGGTTAATATTGATTGTTTGACTTTGAATTAAATTAATTGATTTTAATCCGAAACAAACTTGCCGATACTTTTACTCGAATTTTGGAAGAGGGGGAAGAAAATAAAAGAAGATCATTCATTGAAGAAATTTAAGAGTCAAGGGTTACTTTTCATCTCTTCAATTGAAATTCGAGCGATATATTATTATCCAAAATCGTGTTTGTGTAATTTTATGATGCTCGGTTAATTGTATATGTTGTAATATTGTTCCAATATATAATGATGAGTGATTAAACATTGATGAAAGAACGTTAAGCGGATGCAAAAACGGTTTGGAAAAAAAAAATGGAAGAAGCATAAAATTGGCCGGCTCTCTTTTGGGAACTCAAAGCAAATTGTATGTACTAGGAGATTGCCCGAATTTGAACTGCCCGACCACCCATTTCAAAATTTTAACCTTTATGACTTTTATTATTTTCACACCTCTTTGGCTTATTTTGGCACATTTCATGCATGATGATTGATGTTCAATATATATGGATGATATTCACATTCGAAAACATATCATTAACATCAAATCCATATACTTACATCCAAATCAAAGATCAAACTCAGATTTCTATAGTTGTTCTTCAAGTTCTTATTTCTAGTTCAGATTGCTTGATTTTAGCTTGGATTAAAGTTTGTTTGCTCCTACAAACTATTTGTCATTAAAACCTTCAAGCACTATCTCGGTGATGGTAAATATCGTTTGAAGAGAACGATTCATTACATGTTCAAACTCTTCTTTTAGTTTGTTTAGGAGAGCTTTCAAAGTGTGCTAGATTATTTTTTTCACTGCAAACTTGTCAATTGGAGGAGTGGACTTTGGAGTCCTAGTCTATCAAAAACACTTACAATTATCCTAGTGGTTCGTCCCCTTTGTGGTGGGATGTTTGTTGTTGATTTTTATATTTCAAGTGTACGATATCTTAACAAGTAGTATGATGGACATTTGAGTTCAGATATCGTTCCCACGAGAATTGTACTTCAGGACTTAATCAATTTTTCTAACTCCTATTTGATAAAATCAAGTAAATAATTATGATAGTTGTGATTATTTATATAATTACTTCTAACTATTTGAAAATATCAAAGTTTTGCACACAACGGTCGATTGAAGATTCAAATATGGGAAATATCAGGGCATAACAATTTCAACTATTGATCACCTTAATTCTTAATTCAAGATTCATAACCTAATGCAGTGTTCAATTGAATTCTTCTATTATATTCAATTTACTCCTCTTGAATTCTCATTTAGTCTATTTAACTAATTCAATTTCAAATCTTTATGTGAATCAACCTTAATTAAAATAAATATTAGTTCTAAGAATTTATATTATGTCTGTAATAATTAGTATAGACATTTTTACACATTATACTAATTTATCGGATTTTACTATATGATCTAAATCTTAAACTCACATCTCGATTAGTAAAAGACTAACATAATCATCAAATTAGTGATAAATTAATTCAATACATTAAACTCATAGTAAAATCAACACATATATGAATAAATCACAAAAATCTTGAATAAAAGAATAAATGATCACAAGTCGATTACATTGTTTGCCCTAATATGAAAATTAGTTACTCAAAATGTGAAAATAAACACAAGAAATTGTCTTTGAATACATCACCGAATTCTTTGAATAAAGATGCAGAAAATAATTTAATCTTATATCAAGATCTTCTTCATCTTCCTATCAATGCTTCAAACTTGAATTCCTTGATTTCCTCATTTGAATTTTGCTCTTCGATCTCTCGTTGTATATTTATTTTCTCAATGTGTGGAACTCCTAAAATTTTCTCCTTTATTCTCTTTATACCCCTACACATTCTGCCCGAATTTGGAGTTTCTTATGGGCTTTTCGTGGACCAAAACAGCATAAACCTAAAATTTAAGGGTGCACCTAGGTGCTGTGCAGCTCCTAAGCGCTAGGAGGCAGTGCCTAGGCGCCCTGTTCCCTTCCTAGGCGCTAAGCGCTGCATCTCTATTTCTGCTGTCTCTTCATAGCGCCTGGGAGCTTGGATTCAAGTGCCGGGGTGCTGAGTTTCTGTAAAAAAAAAATGTTAATTCCGGCGCTTGGGCGCTCCAAGTATGGCACCTAGCCGCCATTTTGCTTCATTTTTCCTTGAATTTGGCTCTTTTATTGACTTTGGCACCATTTTTACTCCATCTCCACATACGTTTTAAAACAATACTGGCAAACACATCAAAAACGTTCTATACTCATAATATTTAACCAACAATTAAGTTAAAATTGAATAAAACTCGTGAGTGAAAACAAACTCATCAGTGTTCTTTACCTCATCCGTCCTAGTTTTAGAATCATTTTCTGAGGATTGTATACTTCTTCAAATAGGTGGTCATTTACTTTTGTCTTTGGCAGAAGATTTCACCTCGATCTCTATCACTCGAGTGGTGGCGATCAGATTTTTCTCAATTCTTTGGACAACATTTCGAAGGCGTTCTATAGTGTTCTCATAAGTTGGAAATTTTCAACCTCGCTATAGGAATCTCAACAAGATGGGTCGGGGATTGGAACACTCATTCCTGTCCCTGGTCTTATTTGAGTTTTCCCTTTCTTGCCCACCTCCATCTCTTCTTAAGGCGGGGCAAGGTAGGGTAGGGGCGGGGAAGGCTTTATTTTGTGTTTTAGTTGGTGAAAATTATTAATTTTTTCGATTTTAATGTATAATCCATGTTCTCTTTAGAAATGATAATGATTTTTTTAAAAAAAACATTTTATGATCATAAACTTATATTTTGAAATGGACTTTAAAAGAGACAGTAATGAGGCTGCGATCACGTTTCCTATACCCGTCCTGAGTATCCTTCGAATGCTCAAGAATGTTGATAATGTAGAATATTTTATGAAGACCCTCCTAGCTTCAAATTGTTGATGACTAAAATTGACAAACAATTACTAAGCCTTTGTTTGGTAGGAACTAAAATCTAAATTTTAATCAAAGTCAAAGTTAATAATTAATTTTAACCACATATTTCATGGGACCCATAACTTATAAACCACACATTTCATCAACTTTTACTAAAATCTATTAAAAATTATATTTTAATCCCTACCAAACTGGGGCCAAAACTACTGAAGGTAAATTTAGTAGACTAATTACTAGAATATTGTTAAAAAAGAGAGATTCTTATTAAAAGTGTTTTGGTTGTGTACTACAAGAGATCGCTTAACTCAACCTTTTCTAAGGGACCATTGCTCCTATTTATAACCTCCAATCAAGGGCTTGCCGTCCTTTTTCCCTTCATGTTACAGTATTTGACCTTGATTTCTGTGACCACCATGTTTGGACACTGAGTTTGATCAGTCGATATGACCATCATTCCAACTAGGTTGTTGCTATAACCTAGGTCATGATTGCCAACTACCCAAAGAATTTATTTGACCCTGATTCAGGTATTCCTCAATACCTAACTTGAGTTCTCTTTATGTTTATTTCTCCAAGCAATCTCAAATCGAGAACTCGATATGGCTACTAAATAGGTTTAATGGATTAGTAAAATTCATTTCGATTAATTGTTGCAATCTCATCAAGGTGACTAGATCATGTACACAACATGATCATTATGTCTCATCTTAGTACACTCATAAATGTATGAGGTGATTGTTCGTGTGAGTAAGTCAATCTCAACCTGTTTGACATATTTTATATGTACATGCAAAATATTATCTCGTAATCCCAA